TTTCTTGTAAAGTTTAAGTTAAAATATTTAGCATTATACAAATCAATTGAACATTACATTAAATATTTCTAGGAGTAAAACTCCGGTGTTGAAATGTTGATGCTGCCCATTTTATTAATTCAGTGTATATAACATTTTTGAGAAAGATTCATAATTTTTTCTTGTAATCACATATATTTTAAAATTAAATGTTGTATCTATTTTTTTCCTAATCAGATATAAAAGGTGTATTTTTTTTCTCTCCATGTAGCAGTAATGAGCTGAGCAGCACCTTTAGTTTAATTTACTACAGGTTTCTTTTTTTTTTTTTTTTTAATAATGTCAGTTCTTGGCACAGAAACAGATTCCCAATCTGAAATTACAATTCTATAAATAAATACAAATTCTGTATATAACTACTTTTTTCTGTTTTAAGTTTAAGTGCTGTTTCTAGAAGCTATTTCCTTTTTTTCCATCACAGCTGTGTTTCATGTTTACATGGTTAAAGTCACTGTGATGCTGGACAAATACACAAATATAAGTGACAGTGGACAAAAGAAGCCCATTAAGAAGGATTAAGTATGTTATTTATTTTGATTGAAGATAATGATTAATATTATTCTTTAAGGTGCAGCTGTTTCCTGTGATGGCCGACAAGATGGAGCTCAGTATTATGGAGCTTTGGGAGGATCAGTGGAGCTTCCACTGGAGAGCGACGTTTCACAATTACGCCGTGTTGATTTAGCAAGGAATGGCAGTGTATTTAAGGGTTTTACCAACAAACAAAGAGAAGGCTGGATTGATGGAAAAATTGTCTTTTATTCAAATAATGGATCATTTAGGATCAATGACCTGAAGATGAGTGACAGCGGTGAATATGAACTTAATATGATTGATAAAGATGGAAAGGTAACAAGACCTAGAACTATGCAGCTCTGTGTTCAAGGTAATCCACGTTTTATCTTCTACCTTTTTACATTTTCTACTCTTTGTTTTGTTTCCACTACTTTAAATGTTGTGGTAATCATTGTACTGATTCTAAATCCAAACATCTTATAACAGCCTTCAATATAAATTCTGTATTTTTCCAGTTTTTAAAATACTTATACATGTCCACAACTTTAACCTTTTCACCATGGATGATACAGCTATCATGTTGTTCTGGAGCTTTTTCTTTAAAAAAAAAAGATGTTTCCTGTAATCAATGTGTTTTTCTCTCTCAGCTCCTGTGTCTTCTGTCCAGCTGGTCCATCAGTGTTGGTCCCAGGGACGGATCAAGGTGTCCTGTCTCTCTAAAGGGGACAGTCCTCAGTACAGCTGGACTCTGGATGGAAAAACACTGACAGACTCTGAACTCCTCTCTGGAAATCATCAGACTAACATCATCGTTCTAAAACCGTATATATCAGGGCGTCTTTTCTGCTCAGTCAGGAATCAAGTCAGTTCATCCTCCAACGAGATCAACATTCCTGACTGTGGTGAGTGAGAAAATTATGATAAACAAGTTAATGGTCATGATCCTACATGACATATAATCCTGTTTGTTTCTAGGCTTCATATTCATTAACTGCACCATCAATGGGACACTAATAGCTAAATGGGTGTATAAAGAAAATAACATCCTGTGTGTTGAACCAACAACTGTCCCTCCAGCAGGTAAACATCATAGTGTGGGTAAGGAGACAGAGTCAACTAGCTTACCTCTTAGTCCTGACAGCAGTAATCAACTTTGGTATAATAGGACACTCTAAAAGGAAAACGCCGCTCCAACTTAAATGTATTGCTTCAATCTGTAACAAGTAATTGAATCCAATTGATCTACTTAATTTATTAGGTTTATAGGTTGGAAACTTAAATAAATGAAGTTAGCCAAACTTTATTGAAGTACTTGTTACCAATTCAAGTAATTCATTTAATCTTAGGTGCATTTTTT